GTGAATCCAAACCTCCACTAATAAACAAGCTATAAACATTTCAAAGCTATACCTTTCAAGACTGTTGAGCAACGTGTGCCCTTATGTTCAAAATAGATAGCAAAAGTGCGCTCTTGTATGCCCCTATTGTGGATAAAACATGATAAAGTGCACTAATTGGCACCCCTAAATGGAGAAAACAGTATAGGCTGCCCTACATGCCATAAAACTGTCTCCACGCTGGTGCCCCACTGCATGCAGCTGGTGCCCTTTTTCATTTAGTTTTCTGCCACTGGTTGGTGGAGTATTCCTCTGATGGTTGAATCGTCATCATTAATAGTGGCCTTTTACAGACTCTTGAGTCGCTTTTTTTCTCCATGTTGAAAGAGGACAAATTGCTACCTGCTAAACAAAAGTTGCACAAACCAGATTAATTGTGCTTTTACCTGCTGTATCACTGCACGGAATGCACACATCTTCTTTGTAGGTTGCACGTGGCCAAAATGTGTTACTTTGTTTTTTCAATTAATTTAACGATCAACAGCTGTCAATCCAATCCAAAGGCTTCGATCAGTGTAACCTGATAGCTTTCAGTTGTTCTCTTTTAATTTTCAGTGAGCTGGTGTTGTTTTGAACCGGCCTGCTGGGTGTATGTTGTGTTGAGGAGTGAGCAGCAGCCACAGCTGTTCCCAGATGCATACGTGATGCCATTTGTCCCGCTCTGTAATCCCCCTCGTGGAAAGAGGAGTGGGACGTTTCTGAACCATGAAATCGAGTACAAATCAAGAGTCTGTAGCAGCGGCCAGCTGCCTCTGAGGTCTCACTCGTCGGAAACAATCAGTCAGAGGATTTAGAGTCCGAATCACAGGTCCTGCTGGGTGTGGATACCTGTCGGCTGTTTTACACTGACTACAGTTACAGAGGGAGCAAAGGGTAGAGAGGCAACTTCCAGATCATTAAAGATAGTCAGAACGGTGAAGTCCTTTCCTTTTTTTTATGGACTGAGACACGGAAGACCAAGTGATGACAGTTGTTGTTTAAGAGGTCATGCACAAGAATAAGCAGCAATGTTTTGATGGGTTTGTCACATTATGTATCCCCCATGAATAAGTTAATGAACTCATGTAAAGGTGTTTAAAAGGCAGTCACCACAAAAAGACAGTCAACGCATGTTTTTAAATGGGTAAAGATATTACTTTTCAATGTATACGTGTTTCTATTTACCCCTTAAACTCCCTTTTTCATTGAAGTTTTTCTCTAAGTTTCTTTATTTTATTTTTTTAATGTAACATACTGTATGTTCCTACATTTTCTTATGGTACCTACATTGAGGGAAATATTTAAACCCAAGACTTCATAATTTGCACATTTAGCATTTCTACAAATTAATTCCGTACCTGTGGAAACTTCGGGATCTCTCAAACTTAAAGTACTGTGGGTTTCAGTATTGTTTCTCCCAACAGCATGATATACTGGGTGAGTGGAGGAAAGAGACAGTTCATCACTTTATTGGTAGTAAATGACTGCCTCTTCACATCAATGTGATTTTCCCCCATGCTCTATTTAATAAATACATTATATAATTATCTTTAATTTAATCCAGATAGTTGCCAGATGACGTTTTTTTTCAGTAACTCCATGTTTAATGAGTCCTTCTTTTAGTCTTAGTTAATATTATAACCTTGCTCAGCATTACTAGAGCTCAGACGTCTGCTCTGAGGGGGACTCATACTTGTAGTGGCACCATAAATAGACTGTCTATACCCATGCCAGGCTGTCATGACTTAGCAGGGATTAGGGGTGTGGGACCAGGACTGTTGGTGACTGACTGGTTGAATGTCCAGTAACAGAAGTGACCAGAGGGACACCTGTGCGACCTCTAACCCCGTTGCCCGAAGGGACCACCAGGAATGTTGCAGGCATTCCTTTTCGGCTGCACAAGAGTTCTTGAGCTATTTCAACGACTGTTCCACTCAAACATGTCTGGTGAGGAGACACTCCGGCCAACAGAGATTTGGTACAGAGACAAAAAGTGATATATACTCTTCTACACATGTAGCTATGGTGGATTTTCTCAGAGGGGTTGCTTTTAAATAAATGTTACTAGATGGCAGAAGAAAATGTGACGGCAAGCCTGACAAACTGGTATAATTTGTTACATTTCAGGCCTATACATAAATAAAAAGGGCAGATTGAAAATCTAAGCACACTTACTGTGATACAGATTGAAACGTAGTGCACCTCTCTTGATTTAAATAAACCAGAATACTATTGTGTAATGTGACAGTAGACTTTTGTTCTGCAAAGCCGTCATCAGAGAGGTAGAATCGAACTTTCTCGTGCTCCGTAAACACTCAAACAGAGTGCTTTACGGTTCTTCTGAGAGGGCAATGTCGTCCCCCAAACAAGCTGTCCATACTTCTGTGAGGGCGCGAGGTGAAAGGCCAAGCTGTAAAAGTATCTGGGAAAAGCTTCTAAAACAGTTCATCTGTGTGTGGTGTCATTGCTCAGCCTGTCAGAAAAGGCACTCACCGGGCTAATTGGCAACATGACACTTTGGTGTTATTGCGTCCTGGTCTGGTAACAACATTAGAACAGTGGTAGATACTTGGTGGAGCCAGAATCCAACACACAGAGTCTTTTTTTAGCTCAGATTGAAGGGTCAGAACAAGAGACTGATGTGCGTGAAAAAGAAGTGTGCAAATTCATAAAATGTTCTTTCTTATCTGGTCTGTTCATGTTTTATCATTTGGAAAAGCTCTAACATGGCATTGTGGTTTCCTTCAGCCTTACTGCAACCGTGAAGGTGGTCACGTTAGTCCATCAAACTTAAAAACATGCAGCAGAACTTTAACTGCTTTATTTACCAAACGTTTTGTGTATTTCTTGCATTCATCAGGATGGTGTCTGAGCTTGTTTCCAGTTTCCTGAAGCTCTATGTGGTCCATTGATCAGTTGTGTGATGCATAGATCCACGACCATCATCATATTAAGGTTTTGACAGAATACTAATGATATTCACTCCTTGTGAACACAGAAATTCACAAGAGAAATTCAAATCATGAATACAAAAAAAAAACATTACAACCGATTTTGAAAATGGTCGAATCTACCGTACTATCGGTCAGTCCATCCGTCGGTCCACTACTTTGGTCTAAAATATCTATATTAAATTTGGTACAAATATCCATAAATCTTACCGACTTTAATGATTCCCTGACTTTTCCACTAGTTCCACCAATAGGTTGACATTTATGTTTCTTACTGTAGTGACGTGTTTTGTCAACAATCTGATAGATTGCCATGTTGTTTCAGACGCTCATGATCCACAGATTATGTCTCCTAATGACTTTGGTGATCCTCTGACTTTTCCTGCAGCGGCACCCTGAGGTTAACGTTTGGAGTTTTGAGTGAAATGTCTCGACTAAGTATGGGATGGACTGTTATGAAATGTAGTACACACATTCACAAACTCCTCAGGATGAACTGTAATAACTTTGATGGTCCCTTATCCTCTCGGCCATCACCAGGTCAAACATTCTTGAGTCCAATACTTTGGTTTATGACCAAATTTCTGCAAAACTAATGATTTCCCATCATCCTCAACTTTAGTCTTGCTTAGAGCTTATTAGTAAATGTTAGCATGCTAACACACTGACCTAAGATTTATCAGAAGTTAGTACAGCCCAAAGGCGCCACTACCATGACTGTGATCTCTTGTTAAATACAAAGTAGTTCTGACCATATTTCATTTTTACACGGTATATAAGTCTCTTGTATCCCTTCATGTTAATGGATTTCCCTAATGTTGAAGTCAATCTGCGGCTAACCTTAACACATTCTTCAATGTCCTATTTGGAGCCTACAGCACGGTGCGAGGGAGAAGAGTTGTGCGATGTGTTTTTAAATCTGATGAACTTGCATTGAAGCTCACACTGGTCTGCCGTCTGCACCTCGCTGAGTGTGCGTTCTCAAAGTGAGAAGCAGGTGCTCATGTAGGCCAAAGTGGCCGCAAATCAGGCAAACTTACAAAGTGCTATACTTGGAAATACAACTGGGATGCAGCTGTTATTGGTGTTGAGGTTAAGTGACGATGCAGAATGAACACAATGCCATGAGAGCTCATATATGCAGATGTCTTAAGTACGGTAGATGGCTACAAGGATGAATTTGTGCGGGTGACACGCACTGCTGGAATGTGAGTGTAAACACCACTGTGAGGGTGGAGATGACGACGGCTACAAAAAGTTAAATTGGTAGGGGTCGAGACTATAGAACAGTCCAAGATTAGCCTGCCCTCCAGCCTCACTTGGCCAGCAGATGCTAGCCATGGTTGCCATTCCTCCCTGCACTGTCCAGCAGCATGCCGAAGGATCAGTATATCACATCACCGCCCCCAGAGACAAGACAGGGATCACAGGCCATTCACAAAATACTCACATATTTATCCTCTATCCATTATTTGGCTTATGTATGACTAAAACAGGTCATCCATCAAGATTTAGTGATATTAGAATTTTCTACAGGCTAAGCTTTTTGGCAAGTTAGTACATCTACATTCATCTCTGCTTCTATGGAGTATGCCTTTGAGCTGTTAAACATATGGGAAGTCGTGCTGAATCCGGTGAATTCCCACAGAGAAAGAGGAAGCAACTAACGGAAATGTATACGCGCGAGTGGGTGGGTGGGTGGGTGGGTGTGTGTTTTGTTGATGCACATGCATGTACTATATCAGCCTGTGTGTGCGTGTGAGAAAGCATGTATATGAGTGTGTCTGTTCCTACAACGGAGCAGATCCGTAAGGTGATCCCAAACTCCCAGTCAGGTGCAGAGCTGAGCATAAAGGGGAATTTGTGAGTGTGAGTGGGAATGCGAGTGGGAAAGCACAGGATCTAAATCCATAGTCGACAGCTGTTGTGTGTGTGTGTGTGTGTGTGTGTGTGTGGGGGGGGGGGGTGTGTGAACATGGTCAAGACAGCAATGCGGTGAATGAGGGCTTGTGAAATGAGTGTGGGTGTTTGTGTTTCCTCGTCCTGAGATGAATTTGCACACGGATCAAAGGAAGCTGACACAGACGTGTATTAGTGAGAGAAACCTGAAGCTGTGGCCCTGCACCCTTATGCCCGGCACAATCCCATTAATTCCACATTACAGACAGCCTCAGCGCTACAGCTAGCACACAGCCATTCCAGCAGACCACTGGGAATGTTATAGCGCTGAGGGAGACTCTTGACGTGGTTTTAAACAGCTGCAAACATCGATAATGACCTAATTTGTCATCCATGAAGGAGAATAACTGGAACCAAAACATATACTTCATGTCTGACTGCTCCTGTGACTTTCTTCTGAGAGTTTCACGCTGTTCTTGTTTCCTTCAGGTGTGGAGCTCTGCAGAACCTCGTCACAAAGAGGAAGAGTTCCTTTACCCATGGAGGAATCAAGGAAAGGGAGTGGTCAGGGTGAAGAGGGACTGGATCATCCCTCCAATCAGAGTGCTGGAGAATAGCAAGCAGGTTCCTGAAGACCTTGTCCAGGTAAAAAGTGTTGAAGTATAGCTTTTCACAGCAGAATTTCATCACTGGATAACTGCTTTGTCATTTTCTGGTATAAATGGTTCTTAACATATAGGTTCACAATTTGTTAAGTCTGTCTAAATTGCTTGCTTCGCTTCCTCCGGGTTACACTGGCCAGTAAAAGATCCCCTCCACATTTACCTTTAAGTGATGGGGAACAAAATCCACAGTCCTCTTTTTACGCAAAAATGTATTCAGACGTTTATCTTACGCTAATACAGATATTTCTCCCAATACAATGAAGAGTTTTGTTTGCAGCATGCCAATAAACATCCTGTTCAATTAATCCTTACAATAAATATATATAATGCAAGTTATAATAATACATAGACTATGATGAAAATGAAGAACAAAACCTCATCATGCAAATGCAATGAGCTGGCTGACTGACCGTATAGCGCTTATACACTACTGGAGCCAGTTAAACACAGCGCTGTACAGCCATGCAGTGCTGATCGTAATTCTTCATCACAGATGATCACATACGGCAGAGACCAGTGTTCAAAGGGCTTGTGAAATGTAATGTTGTGTTTATGCTGTCACAGGCGACCAGTTAATGTATAAATCATACCGTACAAGGAGAAATATACAGCCTCTTTTTACATGGTGATTAAAATGCAGCGAAAACCATATGTGAAATGCATGAAATATAGACTGGTGAGTTTAAACACGCTTGTCTCAAGGTCCCTAACTGTCAGCACACTCACATCTGGTGTTACGACATACGGTTTAAAAATCCTCCCCCCCCACCGTCCCATGAGGTTGTGATGATCACCAACTTTATCTCCTCTCTCTTGTCTAGATCAAATCGGACAAAATCTTTACAGGTGAGGTGATCTACAAGTTAGAGGGGCCGGGGGTGGACCAGCAGCCCAAGAATCTGTTTGAGATCGATGATGTAACCGGAGTAATCAGGTGCAAGCGGCCGCTGGACAGAGAAAGATACAACAGCTTCACGGTGAGAGAGCATTGGTGGGAGTAACATTATTAAATCACCCAGACACTTAAAATGTGTTTTAGAGCGCAATCAAGCACAAGTACTTAACACAAGCCACAGTGCGATCAATAAGACCTTACGCAACGTGTTTCGAAGCTTAGGTCCATGTTTTTGCCTCAAAGCATATATCAATGTCTCACACTAGTATAAACAGGCAAAGGTCAGTTTCCTAGGGTCTTTTATGGGCATCTTGGGAGAGACTTCAGAGGCTTTCAGACCAGATGACTGTGATGCAACCTGTTATGTTGAACCAAACCTCTTGGACATGTCTTTATGCTATTTCCAGCACATGTTGAGTACAGGCACCACAGATACCCGCAGTCACCGGGAGAGTTGGATGTTTTCCTAAATGGAACGCATGAGATTTGCGGTAGTTAATAGTAAGAAACAACAATCTCAAAAAAAAAACAACATTTTTTTACGAGCATTGACTTTTGTTTGTCTGTTGTATATGTGTGTGTGTGTGTGTTTGTGTGTAGCTGAAAGCCTTTGCGCTGTCCCCCAGTGGACAGAGACTAGAGAATCCTACCACCATAGAGATAGTGGTGCTGGATCAGAACGACAACAGACCCGCCTTCACCCAGGGCCAGTTTGGTGGCTCTGTCTCTGAGTTCTCAGTCCCAGGTACATCCATTTATAACAAACTGCATTACAAACGTGTCTTCTTGAGCCATGATGTTCCAAAAAGTCATTCAATTCTTTATCATTTTCTTCCTGAAGTAGCTTCAGAAGTTTACAAAGTAGCTTTGACTAACACTTTCCCCCCATACTTTCTGTTCCTTCAGGAGTTGGTTAAGCTCAGACCACAGCTAAAACAGAGAGTGGAAGTTAGACTTACATGTGTAAATATGCAACTGTTTGCCAAATCAACTTAGATTAAATATGTCAGTGTTGTGTTCACAGCTTGTTTTCTGGTTTATTAAGCGACATACTGAAATCCTACATGATATTTATCAGTGGCTGCACAGTTATCCGGTTCTTGAATGCAGATTATGGTATCACTTACAACAACAGCAGATCACGACTAACACAAAAGGATTTGCATGTGAACCAAGTTAGTAAATTGCCGTCACCTAGATGCACATCCATTCCATTCTAAGAAGAGCAGGGTTTACTTTTTACATGTTTTGTAAAGTTTCAAATCCTTTCAGTGAAGTCCTGCAGCCTTAGCACATAAGTCACCTATGAATCATCGAGCTGACCGAAGCTTTCAATTATTTCTGTCAGGCACCTCGGTGATGTCGGTGTCAGCCACTGATGCAGATGACCCAATGACAGAAAACGCTTATCTGAGCTACTCTATCATCGGCCAGGAGAGCATTCCGCCCAACGCTGTCACCAAGACTATGTTTGGTATCAACAACGAGACAGGAGCCATCTACACCAGAGACGTGGGCCTGGACCGAGAGGTAAAACTCAGCTTAACATTCAGACTTTATCTGCAGATCATTATAGTATGGTTCATTTCACTGATATGTGCCGTGCTCCGTCCTAGGTGGTGAAAAGTTTCCGATTAAAACTGCTGGTTGCTGACATGGGGGGCATGGGACTAACAAGTGAAGGTGTGGCAGTCATACACATTTCTGATATCAACAACCACGCCCCGCAGTTCAGCCCTGCCGCGGTGAGTCTCAGCCAACAACATGTGTGAGGGATATTTTCAGTTGTTATTTAAATCACTTTAGTGTTCAGTTGGATGTTGAATCTTTTGATCTGTGTTTTGTGTGTGGACCGTGTAGTACAGTATGTCAGCAGTGGAGAACAGGAAGGACTATGAGATTGGCCGGGTGAATGTGACAGACAGAGACGATCGTGGAGCGGGTAACTGGGAGGCCAGGTACTCCATTTCCAACGACCCTGAAGGCAACTTTGCCGTTAGTACGGATCCTGGCAGCAACGAGGGCGTTCTGACAGTGGTGAAGGTACAGTCTGCTGTTAACTGGAAGAGTTTGAGGGAGGGGTTGTGATCATTTTAGAGTGTTCATCACACATTTTTACCATGCATCCAAAGTCCCACTGACAAACGATTGGATAAGAAAACAAATGATTTCTATCAGCTTTGTTCCTCACCCTGACCTCATGATTCCCTATATTTTCTTTAATCTGGTTTGTCATTTTTCCATATTTTTCACTGCAGACATGCAAAAAGAGTCTGACACACTAAGGGTATGGCTCGGGGAAGTGGTTGCGGTAATGCTATATTTTACGGGTCCATTATTTCCTAATCATTTTAGGTTTTCTGGAACGTACTATGCAAAGTTGTGATGCATATCTTAGTCAAAGTGCCGTCTTTTTCTACCCATAGAGTATCTATATGGAAAACCTACTGACTGATCTGTTCTCAGGCACAACAATAATATGAATTTTCCGAATGGGTGGTTTGCCCTTGGTCAAAAAGTGCTTGGAGGCCCTCAGCTATACTGTAACTGAACAACACTCTATTGGTTGAGTTTTAAACTACAAGTTACTCAAACAAAATTGCTTATTTGACTTTTCCTATGTGTTCGTAAATTATTTATTATCCAACCACATGCAACGTTTTCCTTCCACAAACAGCCTTCTCTGCTCTGTTTTTGTCATGCAGCCTCTGGATTATGAAGCACAGGATGAGCACGTCCTGATTCTGACGGTGGAAAATGTCAATCGCCTGAGCAACAAGGCTCCCAACCTCCCAGTAAGCAGCGCTACGGTGGTGGTGACTGTCGTGAACGAGAATGAAGCTCCACTTTTCAGGGAGGACCCCATACAGATTGTGGTCCCTGAGTCTGTGGCTCCTGGGACGTTACTGAAAAGCAATATCGCCTTTGACCCTGATAATTCTGACCTGAGGTACGATGCAGAGTATTTTTGTGCTTTTATGAATTTGATTAGAGTGATTGGACAGTTTATATGTCTGTAGCTGTAACTCTGCTCTCGGTGGCAGGTATGAGATTAGCAGAGATCCCGAGAGGTGGCTGGAGATCAACAGAGACACGGGAGACATTACTGCCAAGAGAACCTTTAACATGCGATCTCCAAACGTTCGACACAATATCTACAATGCTGTTATCAAGGTTACAGGTCAGTTTGTATATGCTTACAGGTTTTGCACCTCTTCATAAAAACAAAAATGACTTGTTTGCACTTTTCAGAAAGATAAACAGTCAAAGACAAGTGTTGTGACAAGGCTAAATCATTTGTTGTTGTAGATGTTGTAACTGAATGCGGCACTGCTGTCTATTTGCGTTCTCCTGTGTAGATGCTGGCGGTGTGTCGACCACTGCCACAGTGGCCGTCACACTGAAGGAGACCAACGACTTCCCCCCTCAGCTCTTCCCTCTGAGCGGCACCGTATGTCGGGGTGCAGGCGGCAGGCGTTCTGGTCTGGTCCTGACGGCTGTGGATGAAGACCTCCCTCCGCACGCTGCACCCTTCACCTTTGAGATGCCCGATGACATATCGATCAACTGGACTGTTAATCAAGTCAACGGTAAGGAAAGAGCATTGCGGGGTGAGGATGGAGTGAGAGGGGTTTGCGTGAATCTCCTAACCTCACACTACTACTCTCTCCCTCTTCAGATACTCATGCGGTGCTTCTGCCCCTCGAAGAGCTGCAGGCAGGAGAGTATGCGGTCACGGTGTTTGTGTCCGACTACGGCATCCCAGTTCTGAGCGCTTATGCTCAGGTCAACGTCACCGTGTGTGTCTGTGACTCCTTTGGAGATTGTAAGTCTGAGGCGGGGGCTGTGTTCGGCTCCAGTATGGGAATCAGCTTCATCGCTCTCATCATCATCATGGCCAGCATTGCACTTCTACTGTGTAAGTGCCGTCTTGAGTCGTCCGGTCTTAAAATACTTTTTTATTTTTTCGCAAAACAAGAATAAAGCAAACAGGACCTCAGATATTTTCAGTTGAAATAAATGACTCGTGAAGATGTGCGTTTTTGGCGTTCATTTTACAAATAATCACAAACTGTTTTAATGCCATCTGCAGTTTGATAGACAGAACCCATAGTGAGGCTTCATGTAAATATGTTACACAACCCATTTTGGAACTTGAATACCTTGTCTAGATCATATCATGCACTAAAAAATAGAGCTGTGACGATAAGTCGATATCTCTTTCTATCTCTCACTATCAGCTTTTTAAAGCTGTTTTCAACCTGTCACACAAGACAATGTTTTGTTGTTTTCAGTTGGGGTTCTTTATTGATTGTGACTTTGGACTTTGGATTGACATTTTTCACTTTTTTTCTGAGATTTTATTGACTAAATGATAAATCGGCAGATAAATTGATAACGGAAAAAATCGTTAGCTGAAGCCCTATAATCGTAGACACAATGATTAACAGCACTTCATGGTTTCCCTCTGTTGGATCGCAGTGCTGCTCCTCTTGGCTGTGGCGGTGACCACCTGCGGGAGACGCCACCATATCAAGAAAGGAGCAGGTCTGCTAGTCGGGGAATCGGAAGACGACATTCGTGACAATGTCTTCAACTATGATGAGCAAGGCGGGGGTGAAGAGGACGAGGTAAGGCTGCACAGGCCATGAGTCAAGAGGTCTGGACGATCCTGTGGTCCAGTTTATGCACCTTATCACTGTATCCTGAAAGTACATGCAGAATCTGTAGCTTCTTCCTCTAACCTTGCAGAACGCTTTTAACATCGACCTGCTGTGGAATCCCCATGATGCACCTTCCACCCCGGGGTCCTACTACCCAGGGTGTGGTGTCCCTCGAGGCAAGCAGCCCCTCAGGAGGGATGCCCCGCATAACCTGCCCTCACCCATCTACCCACGGAGGCCTCCAGCGGATCCCACTGATATCGAGGACTACATCAATGATGTGAGACGCTTCTACCGTGACTAAACATACTCCAAAATCTCAGACTATTATGTAGTTATCTTAAAGGGTATACCCATCCCTAAAATCAAAGTACAAATCATGAATTTACGATCAAAATCACTTACAGTAATCAACAGGCCTGATAGACAGACACACTCTCGCGAGATCTGGCAACTAACGTCCGCAAACGTTCCATCTAACTCATTTTTGTAATGCTAAATATGGTTGTTAGATGTGTAAATATACCATGTTTGCAAAATATAATACCGTGGTCGTGCCATGACCACGCCCACTTAGGAGACAGGAAGTGTATACCATTTCAGATTATTGGCGGAGCTTTTAATGCGTCATCTTAGTCATGGAGCATCTTTGGGGGTGGGTTCAACTTTGTAGAACTTTGGCTAAGTTGCAGCTCAGCTAATAGCAAAGAAGTGTGTGTGGTTTTTTATTTTACATCGATAGGTCAAACTCTTTTGCCATATATGTGCATATACTTAGAGGCGACATCACTGATGTTACACATCAAAATCAGTTTTCAGATCTTGGGGAGCGCGATATATTAAGTTGTAATACACATTTTTTACTCTAGAGGGGGCTGTGTGATCACATCAACATAAAAAGCTTGTCATTTTTCTTCCTTCAGGGCCTGGAGGCTGCAGACAATGACCCGAATGTGCCTCCATACGACACAGCCCTGATCTATGACTATGAGGGAGGGGGCTCACTGGCAGGCAGCCTCAGCTCCATTGCTTCAGGCAGCTCTGATGGAGACCAGGACTACGACTACCTCAACGACTGGGGACCACGCTTTCAGAAACTGGCCAATATGTATGACCCACGTTAAGGTGGACAGCACCCCGCAGAAAGAAGACATGTGTGCCTCACCACCAGTTAGGGACACAGATCAGGCCTCGGGTGGTGTTTTTTCCTGCACACATTTGAAAAGATTTTAGTCCCGGACGAGATTTGAAGTGTGATAAATAAATGTTATATTGAGGATCATTTGGACACAACTGGCAAAATGGCTCGTTGCAAAGTTTTGTGGTATAAATCGTGAGTTGATGTGATCCGCCACGAGGAAAGAAGCTGTGCGTGCTACAAGGCACACAGAATGTGTGTTGAAATGATTGTCCATCTCTGGTTATGTTTATCCTCACACTTGCTCAGTAATAATGACGCACATAACAAGCCTGAGATCTAAAAAAAAATCTTTATGTATTTCTTTTTATATAAGTGATTATTTTATAAGGTAAATTTACTTTGATGTTCATTTTGTTTGTTTTTCTTATCCTCCATTCCAGCATCTGTTTAGAAAAAATATATTTCTCAACAAAACAAATTGTACAACACGATATTCTGTAATCAAATTGATTGGAGGCGTAGACTTTGAATGATGATGTTTTTTTGTTTAGAGTTTACCGGTGTCTACAGAATAAATGTAAATCTTTTATTTAGTGTGTGTATTGTTGTGACCTTCTTCACAGGCTGCACCAGGTTTACACATAATTCATTCCTACATATATA